AAGTTTGGCATCATAGCAACATGCAAGCCAATATTGAAAAAAAAAAAAAGATGGAGGCTTCACATAAAGTACATTGATTTGGAATTGAACTCAAGTATTCAACCCCACAGAAAGATGGGAGAGGGTCCCCAGAGGATGCCATTTGCCAGAGAATTCGTTTTGGGCCTGAGGGCCAAGAAACAAAAGTTGTACACTGGTCCTGGAGGACATATCCTTCTCTCCTGGGAAGCCATCCTCTTGCATCAGCACCAGGCTGCAAATGGAAGACAAATGGTATTTAACCCAGAAGAAGTCAATCCTGGAGTGGATGTTTAAGAGGCCTTTTTCTCAGGATCTTCCAGGAAAAGAAGCTGTACATGAGAGTTGTACTTAAGAACTTTAAATTGAAGTCATACTGACCGCATCATAAGAGAGTGACAGCAGCATGATATGGTCAGAATCAGAGAAATCCTGATTGCTTAAGACTTAGGACATCACATCAGGGGGTGGTAAATGGGAAACGGGTGTTGAATGTTGTAAGCAAAAGTAGGAAGGGTTGGTGGTGGAGTAAGGAAAGGGTGGAATTTTAATAATAAAAAAAACCACAACAAACAACCCCAAACCCCAAAATCAACCAAACATGTAGCTGGGTGGGCAACACCATTGAATATTGGTCTTTCTAACTGGTAAATGTCTTTCATCTACTCTTTTCTGTGGAATGCTTGTCTGTCAGGTACTATTATATATATTTAAAAATTGAGACAGACTAGGAAGAAGGATTGGCCATCCACTTCTGAAATTACAGGTCTTCGAAAACCCTGTGTACAATAGAGCACACTTAGATTATCATTTGGACTAACAGACATGGCAACTGAAACTGAGATCTTAGAAATGGAAACACAGAGAAAGAGAACCAGCTGTAAGGAGACACTAGTGATTGGACCGTGTAATGTGAGAAGCATGAATGTAGGAAAATCGAACATTGTTAAGAAAGAAATGGAATGCATAAATATTGACATACTAGGTATTGGTGAAATGAGATGGCTGGCATGGAACATTTTGAATCAGATGATCATATGATTTACTATGCTGGGGATGAAAAGGTGAGAAAAAATGGGGTTGGTTTCATAATTAAAAAAATCATTTCTAGATCTATCCTGAAATA